GAATCTCATGTATTTTATTTTGAACTTTTCATTTTTAACTGTGAGCTGTAATGAAAAATAGCCTTTCCAAAAAATGTGAACCTGATTTTATCTGTTCAGTAATAATTTGTTGGTTCCATTTACACTTTCATTGCTACATTGTGGAAATTATGTTCCCATAATTTTATTAAGGGGGGGGTCGTTCTGTCTTATTATCAGGGTTAATCCCTTAATTAATGACCAAAATGAGACGGGATTTATCTGAACCAACTAGAGAGAGATAATAAACAGATTTATGGATTTTTAAAAGTATCTTTATTGACAGTGTAGATCTGTACAAAGAGTGGACTAATGATCTGGATTTGCTACCTGCATATCCACACTTTCATAACCAGTATGTGGACTTTGCAACCCGGGGGCTAATGTGCTGGATCTTGTTTACACAAACATCCCTGGCGCATACAGGGCAGAGCCCTGCCCCCACTACAGCTACTCAAACCACATCTCTGTAATGCTCACTCCAGCATACAGACCGCTCATCAGACGTGCCAAACCAGACCAGAAGCAATTGAGAACCTGGCCACCAGGAGCTATCTCTGCTCTTCAGGACTGTTTTGAGCACACTGACTGGGAGATGTTCAGAGAAGCAGCAACCTCGGGTGACTCCATCAACCTGGAGGAGTATACAGAATCAGTGACTGGCTACATCAGCAAGTTCATTAATGATGTTACTGTCTCCAAACTCGTCACAACTCACCCCAACCAGAAACCATGGATGACTGCAGAGGTGCGCATGCTGCTGAGAACCCGTGACAAGGCTTTCAAGTCAAGGGACAAAGCAAGCCCCAGGATAGCAAGAGCCAAGATTTCCCAGGCCATCAAAGAGGCCAAGCGTGCCTACTCAAAGAAAATCCACAATCACTTTCAAACACCGCTGACACACGGCGCATGTGGCAGGGCATCCAGGCCATCACCAACTACAAGTCACCTCCACCTGCTTGTGACAGTGATGCCCCCATTCCAGGTGCGCTAAATAACTTCTATGCTCGGTTTGAAGCACAGAACAGCACGACAGCGAGGAAAGCCACTCCTCCTCTAAGTGAACAAGTACTGTGTCTGTCTACAGCTGATGTGCGGAGAACTCTACACAGAGTCAACCCACGAAAAGCACCAGGATCCGACAGCATACCAGGCAGAGTCCTCAGAGAATGCGCTGAACAGCTGGCTGATGTTCTCACAGACATATTCAACATCTCTCTGAGCACTGTAGTCGTTCCAACATGCTTCAAGTCCACCATCATCATCCCTGTGCCGAAGAAGTCTCCAGTGTCCTGCCTCAATGACTACCATCCCATTGCACTTATTCCACACCCCTAACCTCATGCTCAGAAATGAGTGCTGTGTTGGTGCAGCACTGTCCTGTCTGTTTACTGTGTCTAATGTCTGTTTAATTTATTGTATTTATTGTGTTGTTTCCAGCTTAATTTTTTGTTTGCACACTTATGTCTGCACGTTCACACTTTGTACTTTTTGTTTCCTGTTGCACCTTGTTGTTCCTGGAGGAACGTAATTTCACTCCACTGTGTACTTTTACATAGATGGAATGACAATAAAAGCCTCTTGACTTGACTTGACTTGATTACCCCGGACACATGATGATGATGATGATGGACTCAGGATGACACTCAACAGCAACATCTAAAGATATTCATTTTTAGTGACTAAACATGTTGATGAAAACGTGCTATTATAGCTGAACTGTCTCAGTTAATTTACTACTCACTTTATAGAAATAATATTTCTTGCCATAATGAACTCACAAAGGCCCAAATGAGAAAATTATGTTTTTTTTCTGATGGAGAAAACAAGTTAAAAAGAGCTAAACTTTCTAAACTAAACTCTAACACATTAATCAGAATCAGGATCAAGCTTTATTGGCCAGGTTTGCTTACACATACAAGAAATTTGGTTTTGGTTACAGGAGCTCACAGAGCACAGTATCAGACCAACATTTACATGTAGTGAATAAAATAAAATATGCATTCCTACTATCACTCACACACACACACACACACTCACTCTCACACACACACACACACACACACACACACACACACACACACACAGTCATACCTGTAAACCTTACATTGTGCAAAGTATGTGTCTTAGTTAAAGTATTGAGTGCAGCAGCAGTTAAAGGGTGTATAGTAACAAGGAATGGGATCAGTGGGGTAACAGTCAGATCAGTGGGGTAATAAGGCAGGTAAGTGAGGTAACAGTCAGATAAGTGGCATAATAAGGCAGGTAAGCGAGGTAACAGTCAGATAAGTGGGGTAATAAGGCAGGTAAGCGAGGTAACAGATCAGCGGGGTAATAAGGCAGGTAACTGAGGTAACAGTCAGATCAGTGGGTAATAAGGCAGGTAACTGAGGTAACAGTCAGATCAGTGGGGTAATAAGGCAGGTAAGTGAGGTAACAGTCAGATCAGTGGGTAATAAGGCAGGTAAGTGAGGTAACAGTCAGATAAGTGGCATAATAAGGCAGGTAAGTGGGGTAACAGTCAGATCAGTGGGGTAATAAGGCAGGTAAGTGAGGTAACAGTCAGATAAGTGGCATAATAAGGCAGGTAAGTGAGGTAACAGTCAGATCAGTGGGGTAATAAGGCAGGTAAGTGAGGTAACAGTCAGATAAGTGGCATAATAAGGCAGGTAAGTGGGGTAACAGTCAGATCAGTGGGGTAATAAGGCAGGTAAGTGGGGTAACATGTAACGAGGTGGGTTGCCAGACATGGGATTTGAACCAAGGCCATCTGGGTGGTGTTTCAGAGGCCAACTGGGTGAGCCACCACAGGGTTTTGGAAGGGTTATCAGCAGGAAGCCTCTGCTGTCCTTAAACCAAAAACGTATGTGTTTGAAATTCATTCAGTAGCTCTGAAACTGGATTCTTTGTTCAGATCAGACATCAGTGGAGCAATTCGTCAAGCTGCAAAGATTTTATATCAGAAACTGGGTCATGCTTGGATATTCCAGCTGGACAATGATTCAAAACAAACCTCCAAATTCACACAAACCTGGTTCACTGACCACAGAATCACTGACCACAGAATATTTATAAATACAAACATGCATATAAATGTGACTTTTGTAGACACCAACTCATCTAACAATTCTTTCAAAATGAAGCATATTAATGGGAGGTTCTCCACCTGTCCATGATGGACTAGCGGCCTGTCCAGCGTGTTTCCTGCCTTTCGCCCAATGACTGCTGGGATAGGCTCCAGCTCCCCCTGCGACCCAGAAGGATAAGCGGCTTAGATTAGTTTGTGTGTGTGTATGTGTGTGTGTTGTGTGTGTGACACTAGGTCATGACCAGTCAGTTGTTCAGGTGATTACAAAATCAGAAGTGTCAAAGGTGTCCAATTTGATTGGCTGTGCTTTTCTGTGAAGATTACGCAAAGCTGAGTGTGCAATTGATTATCTGTGTCAGCAATGGCTGCACCTTAAAGTAGCTGATTCATAATTAGATGGAGAGTCTGAATAAGTGTGGACATATAGTGTAAATATACATTTATACATTTACTACAATGTACATTTATTACATTTACATTTTATTCAATACCCAGAATTTTTTGATGGATACTGTTGCTGAAAAGCACATGATGTCACCTGTTTGTCATGTTCCTCTGTTTCCTGTACACTTAATTTTTATATCATGTGTATCTTTAATTCCTGGAAAAGTCATGATAAATAAATAGACAAACTGTCACTTGTTACTTGCAGTAAGTCTCTTGGGACACATTGGCATTTTTTAAGATAGAGGCAAGTTTATTTATACAGCACCTTTCAAACTCTGCTGTCATTCAAAGTGCTTTACAAATGAGAAAATTCAGAGTAGAGTTCTTTAAAAAAAGTAAAGTAAACACAAATGGAAAGACAAAATTAAAAACAACATTAAAGCCATAATTAAAACAGGATTAAAACAATACATTTAAAAGAGAAAATCATTCAATTAAAAATCTAATTTAAATTAAATTATCAGATTAAAAACTAAAAGTTAGATTAGGATTTAAAGAGAAAAACAGATTAATATCAAAGAGTCTGTCAGAAAGAGTCGTCTGTCTTATGTAACCTTTCTTAGCCCCTGATTAAGTAATCTCTGCACAAACTACAAACCTTTTTGTTACCAAAATCAGAAAAGTTTGGGTTTTGCTTTTTTTTCTTACTTCCTGTTTATTAGTTGTTTATTATTTTAGGTAAGTAACTAACTTGGATTGTTCTGAGTATTATAGTGGTTTCTCAACAGAGGAATTAAAAAACTGTGTTTTGAGTGACAGAATAATTAGTTTCTTTGGATTTAATTGCTGTAACACAGAAAGTACTTAACCATTGTATTTATTACTGATGACAGTTATAATATCATTCAAATATAATCATATACTGTGTTGTAGATTTGTAAACCATGGATGACAAGAAAATCACAGTTTGCAAAATGATTCCTACTGTCAAGTGTTTTGATTACAGGACATGACAAATTAGAACTGGTGACTGATGATGTGTGTAACTCATTAATGTTACATTCTGACAACTAGACTAAAAAAATTAATATAAATATTCAAATGCATGGACCTTATAAAAATCATTTTTAGGGCTACATTAATTATTAATTGTTGAAATCTAACTCTAAGATGCGCTTGTCTGTCCCTGTACAGCAACTATAGATCTTTAAGTTTTATTTAAATGAGGCCAGAGAACAACAGATACTGTTCAGGTTGGTCCAGCAGATAATACTGACCTAAGTGCAGCTGTCTGAGAAGTGTTGGATGATATTGATGAAGCAGCTTTGCCTTTGGCCTAACGTACGTCCAGCCTGGACTTTGGAGTTGTTGCAAACCTTCACTGATCCATGATAAGAGGTGAGATGGCTTAAATTATAAAAGGTGTGAGACGGAGGAAAAGAGTTAGTCTTCGTCTTTGTTTAGGAAGAGGACTCATTTCTAAGGCCTGCTGAGCTCCCCGTGCGTCATGAGGGACATGAAGCTCTGGCTGGTGCTTTTACTCGGCACCTGCACCTTCGCTCGTGAGTACACTCATGCTACTTTCATATGAATAAAAGTTTTACTCTGATTAGAAATGTTTTTTTTTTTTAACATTGTAAAAGTTACAAAAATGGATTCTTGTAGTCTAAAATATTAAAACAAAGCAAATATACCTTTGGGTGAATTAATTACTAAAACCAGTAATAAGCAGTTCAGTCATGTTTTTATTACCAAAAAAATAAACTGGAGTTTGTTGTTCAAAAACTCATCTCTCCAGAACAAGATGCTGGAGACGCTGAGGAAAATCCCACATGCTACTGTAAGTACCATTTCCCTCATACAACCTTCCCAAGAGGCAATGTTTAAACGGAAAACAACATGATTCATCATAACAGCACCGTTACATTAGATACATGGTTCTGAAGCTACATAACTGCAGTAAGAATTTTATAATGCAAATTGTGATGATTTTAGGTTACCCTAACACACCACCAGGACTACAATTCACCTTTCCTCAGTAAATACTATGATGACTTTTATTTTGACAGGCACTTAATTGTATTAATTTAAACTTCTACTTACCTGAGATCCAGGGGGATCCAGGCGAGGTGGGAGCCAGGTCGCTGGTACCTGTAAAGAAGAAAATATAATGTTAAATAAAGCTAGCTTGTAAATCATTTCTAAGATAAATGTGCACGTGTGTATATGAAGAAAATGGCCTTTGTATGTATGTATATAGGATTTATGTGTGTATTGTCTGTTCTATTGTCACCCCTAGACTGTGGATAATGGTATGACCCAGAGCTAATGTGGTCGGGGCTACCAGGTTAAAAGGGAAGGGGGACAATTGTGTTTGGGGAAGGTCTGTGTGGCTTCACAGCCTCAGACCCAATGCAGCAGAATCGCTTTAGTTCTGTGTGAGGCTGCCGGATGCTGACTGCGGAGTCAGTGGAGTCATCTGGCTACAGCTTTGTTTTCTTTTAATATTTCTCCCGCGAGTGTAAATACTTTTGTGTGCAAAAACCACAATAAACTTCAGAGCACTGTGGAATTGAGTTCTGATGTCCAAGAGTGTTGAATGGGGAGCCTCCAGACCACTTATTGACCACTACACCACCAAAGTGGTGACCACACTTACCACAAAAATATTGTATGATTTTTACCCACTGCACCTACCGTACCTCCAGATGGTCTGAATAATTTTGGCCTCTCATAAATGATATCATTTTTCTGTTTAGAGCTGCTAAGCATGCTTAGTATAAGAATTTAAAGAGGCTTTTTATTTTGTATTACAGTCTTTGCCTTATGTTTTATCATGTCATTGTCCACTCTCCAGTGGCCAGAAGATACAAGAACTTCAGAAGATATGTGTATCAGTATGAAGCAGAGACCCAAAACAGTGTGAATACACCATCGTCCCTCAGGAGTGGCCCTAGAATCACCTGTAAGGTAATTCTAGCTAGAATTAAGCTCCACTTCATTCTTCTAGAACCGTTCTTCTGTTGGGCAAACAAACGAGCCAAACCGTCACCCAGTCTGTGCTTTTTCTTCTTCTCCCCAAAGTTCTTATTTTTTACATAACATATTTATATCCAGTCCTCCTCTCCTGTACCCTGATTTCTTTGATGTCTCCCAGGTTGAGATTGATGTGCCTCGAGCATGTAGTTTTGTGCTGAGCGTGAGTGAGTGCTCCTTGAGTGAAGTGGTGGACATAGACACTGAAGGCTTCCCTGTTTATGGCCCGGCGGCTGAGACCCAGGCTTTTCAGGCTGCCATGGAGAAGTACGTGTCAACAGCCACACAACATTAAAAGACTCAAGAAATCTGAGGGAGTCATAAAGTGTTCTCTCTAAAAGTGACAAAAACAATTAAATTATCGATTATTATTTGTTTATTTTTATTTATTTACTTTATTATTTTATATTGGTGACAGTGGTAGCCTCTGTAGGTCATAACAGTTCTTTGCTCCCCTTTGACCAGAAACACTCTTAAAGTCATGGTTGAGGGTGAGAATGGCGTAAAACTATTTCCCGAGGAAGACGAGACCATTAACATCTTAAACATCAAGAGAGGCATCGTCTCTGCTTTATTGGTGCCTGGCATGGAGATGGAGAAGAACAAAAACATGGTAATTATTATATTTGTTATTTATTTCTGGAAGGTCCTACATGCTGTCTTTATAATGACACTGTTATTATATCCTATCTTCATTATTATTTATGATTTATTTTAACAAAAACAATTTTGAATGTGTGTCAGGACAAATTAGTAGCTGCGGAAAATATCTTATTTATCTTATTATAATACGATTACTTTATCTTAATAGCTGTACCGATGATGTTTTTAGAGATGTTTTTAGAGTTATGTGACGTTTTTGACCCTGAACTTTTTATTCTATTTTTAATCTTATAGGCTACTGTCCACGGCACTTGTGTTACTGACTTCCGGGTTAACAATAGAGAGGACATTGCCACTGATGTCACTATTACCAGGGATTTGTCAGGCTGTGATGGCTTCAGTTCCCAGAGGGATTATGGCAGCCCCGTAGCTCTGATCTCTGGCATGGTAAGACATCCACAACTGCAGGTCTATTGGTAACTTCTGTCCACTGGAACCTTCAGTAATTTTAACTCTCAAAGTTAAACACTGAGGTTTAAAGCTTTAAGGAAGGGGAGCAGGTAGTGAGGAAATACCTAAATAAAAATGGGATAACAAACCCTGGAAACAAAGCCACAGTACTGTTGCTGACTCAGCTGTGACCCTAGACTCCTGACTGAAAGGGTGGAAGAGATAGCAAAAATCAACACATTGATTATTTATGTGATCTTTGGATTTTGCTTTGTCTCCAGCACTATCCTCTGTCCAAACTGATTAGCAGCACCCAGATCTGCAACTATCAGTTTGACAATCAGAAAAAGCATATGACCCTCGCGACCTGCACTGAGAAGCATGTCTACCTGCCCTTTTCTCACCGGTGAGACCATTAAGTTTTGCATGGCTTCGACTTCAGTGACTGATTAAGTGTTTTAAGCACCAGATCTTAATGTTTTCATTACTAATCCAGGAACGAGAATGGAATCTCCTCTATTGTCAAGCAGGTCCTCACTCTGCACGGGACCAACAAGATCAACGACAGAGTGTTTCACTACAGTAAGCATTTTTTTCTGTGCCTACATAGAAACAGATATAGTTTACAGTCAGTGCAGCACCAGGACATACATATGTATAAGTTTATATATATATATATATAGATTCTTTTAATTGAATAAGAAAACAAACTTGCTTAAATTACTCTTGTGTTAACATCTTGTGGAAGGTGGATTCATATAATGTAATTAGGCTACCAGTTTATAAATCTTTTCCACCTTCCACAAAATATGTTTATGCAAGAGTAATTTGAGCAAGTTTGTTTTCTTATTCAATTAAAAGAATCTATCTATCTATCTATCTATCTATCTATCTATATATATATATATATATATATATATATATATATATATATATATATATATATATATATTAGATATATGTATGTATATATAAGTAACATGAGAGGGAGTGTTGATTTGGTCGCATGCACAAGCCGAAGGCGAGCGACCTGGAGTGTTCTATTGCTTTTATAAAACAGTTAAATAAATACAGTAATAAATTAATAAACTGGGTCGTGAACGCGGCGTTTAATATGTTTTAATGTTCGCAGTTCCTTCACCAAATTATAGTTCCTTAACAAGCAGCTTGTTGCTACATCAGAGTAACGAGCTCCGCCCACTCACTGCACAGCCGGCAGTTCGTTCTCCAGCTCCACACAGACCAACTGACAGTTTGGGAATTTAGTGTCATCTCCAACTCCAAAAAAACTAGTCTGACCAAATCGGCTGTCGGTCAAACGTGATCTTAAAAGTGTCCATTTTCTGTTTGTGACAAAGTAAGAAGTAAAAACGTTTAAATGGCTTGAGCGTCTCCTACAGCTGTCACAGTCGTTGTCGATGTATAAATTTAACTTAAAACAGAAAAACCTAACCTCAACATTAAACATTCATTTGACAATTCACAGTTGACAACTTACATCAGTCAGTAAAGTACTGTTTAAAAAAAAAATCTGAAATATAAAAATGAATTTTTAGAATTTTTAGCCCCTTTAAAATTTGTATGTGTATCGATCTCAGTTTTTCATATTGGTCAGGCTCTACGTTCCACAGACATTTCCTTTAAAAAAATCCCTGTTTCTTTCATAGACGAAGCCAACCTGAAGAACCTCCCTATGGAAGCCACAGAGGAAAAGGCCCCTGTCCAAAGTACCGATGCTGTGCTCGCTGTTTTCAAGGAACTACAAGCCATGCATCAAAATCAGCAGGGCCACCAGAGGGCTAGCACCTTCTACAAATTGGTCAGTGAACTCCGCAGCTTGGAGTCTGATGTCCTCAAACAAGCCGTCACTCAGATGGTGGAGGAGGACCAGTTCCTGACCTGGCAGGGCCTGATCCAGTGTGGTACTCCGGAGTGCAGCAGCGCCATGCTCCAGATCCTCAGGGGCTTTTCCTCCGAAACCATTGAGATAGATGCCGCCATCTATGCTCTGGCAATGGTCCACAGGCCCTCTGACCTCCTTGTGAGGGACATTCTTGAGATGGCCAGGAACAAGCAGAGTAAGCCCATCATGTTTGCTCTGAGCAATGTGGTTAGAAAGTAAGTGATTCTTTTTAACTTTAAAATTTCATGCCATGAAGTGCAGTTTCTGTCTCACAACATTACAGAGGTCTACATATTTTTTTGGTTTTCTTCCACAGCTGAATATGTTCTTTATGACCTTTAGGGTATGTATATTATCTCACACCGAACAACCACCCATTTGGCTAATAAATACTATGTGAATTAATTAAAAAAGACAGGGCAATGGCAGGACTGAATTCTGGCGCAGGATTTAGGTACGGTTTTTACAGATCTACTGCACTGTAAAAACCTTACAGATATATAGGCAGTAGAAGAAAATGAAAATGTACTGTTATAAAAATTGTGCAGAACCTGAACACATCACTGCCATTTACTGGTGGTTCTCTTCCCTTGATGGAGCTGTGCATCAATACAGTCAGTACATTTAAACCTACAAAACTGTGTCTTTAAGGTAGATGTACCTGATAAAATGGCTAATGAGTGAGTTTTTCATGTGGCTTTCTGTTATTCTGTACATTCCCTGTATCTTTGCATTTGATAAGAGAAGATCAGGAATATATGGGGGTGTAATCTTGATATAAATGCAACAAGCTTTCTGTGCAACAGAAAGAGCTAAAGGGAGTTATCAATGCAAAGAAAACAATAGGAGAGATAACAGTACAGCTCTATTAGGAATTTAATCACTTCAAGGTTCTCAAGCACATTTCTTTAAATATACATGTGGGTTATCACATCTACACAGCTTTAACAAAACTGTGTTTATCCATGGTTTCTCTGTGCTTGAGTCGAAGAAATGTACTGCAAAACTAATGACCAAACCAAACCAAAGTCCCATTAGGAGAGTCTCTTCACTCTGCGGCCATCTTGGCAGTTATTTCGAGCCATATAACACCGGACTCCTATCTCCGTATAAGACCGGACTCCTATCTCCGTATAACACCGGACTCCTATCTCCGTATAACACCGGACTCCTATCTCCGTATAAGACCGGACTCCTATCTCCGTACAAGACCGGACTCCTATCTCTATATAAGACCGGACTCCTATCTGTTTGAATGGGGAGAGACCAAAATACTTGAAACAGAGAGTAAAATTACCATTTGAAAAACATTTGAAATCACCTGTAAAATCTGACAAAAACCTCATGAACAGTTTGTGGCATTTGGCTCAATAACACAAAAATGTGATTTTTTGGGTTGTTTTGGCTACTGCACTCACGCAGATCTCCATGATCTCCATATCAGTGACACTTCTCCTTTTGCATTGTGACCAGTAAGCTGACTGGCTCTTTTTCTTGAAGGGTGGGACTTCTATGAACAGATGCAATGTTTAGTGTTGCAAGCTTTCCCGTTCATATTTAACCAGTGACCAGCCTCCTCATTTATGATGTCTCCGGTGAAACTAACCGAACAACCTGAGCTAGTAAAAGAGCTCCATCTTCTGTTGTCTGTTCATCCATTTGTTCAACCAGCCATGCCAGCGTTACAGACCTTATCGTTTTTAAGACATCGCTATATAAATTCTGGATAATGTGTTTATTGAGCCATTAGATGGGAATGTTGGACTAGCTGTCAATCAGCTACTCTGTTTATCAGAGAATTAAGACTAAGTAATTGTGGCCAAATAGTTAAATTATTACTTCATCAGTTCACAGCACTTGTTTCCAAAATGCCTATAGATTATCAGGTTGTTTTGCGTACTTGTGATGTTGACTTTTGTAAAGAAGTTGCAGGTCAGTTTTCCTTTTGATTATTTTTCATGCAGATCATGTTTTTTCAGGCACCACTGCACAGAAGAGTGGTACACTGTGTTCAATGGACCCCTGAATTATTGTTCCTACTAGACATTTCTACTTCAAAACATCAGCACTTACAGTCGACAGAAGGAGCTCAAACTGGGTGGAAATTTGATGAGCGTCGTTGTTGGAAATGTTGGAAATTGGAAATGTTGCCTAATTATTTCTTTTGAAATTCTCCAGACATGTAATGAATCCTGATGAATTTATGATGATTTTATATTGAACGCAAAAAAGACTTCTTTGCTGTATCGGAGCATGTTGGTCATTTTGCATCTTTAGTTGTGTGCTCTGCTTGCCCACACTGACAATGTAACTGAGTGTCATTGTTTCACCTCTTCAGGCACTTCCAGCAGACAAACAGCAAAGTCACCCCTGCGATTACAGCGGTGTATAATTATACATCTTCTATCCTGGGCCCTGACTGTGCTGGAGACAAGGAACTGACCTACTTGACCCTGAGGGTACAGATGTCTCACATCAAACACCTTCTCAAAGTCATCATAATTGCCAAACTAAATCAAAAAAGTTAATAATCAATTTATTTTGTATTCAGGTTGTTGGAAACATGGGAAAAGCCATGGAAGCTGCAAACCCAAACATTAAGAGCATCCTGCTGAAGTGCATGAGACAGCCTGCCACCACTCTGTCTGTTCAAATAGCTGCCATTCAAGCTTTAAGATACATGTCTGTCACTGATGAGGTCAGTCACACATACCTTCACTAAAGCTATTTTTGTCCAGTCTTTCATAATTTCTTCTCATGGATTCTATCTCATTGTTTTTTTCTTAATTCAGGTCCGTCTCAACATCCAAAGGGTTGCACAGTACAGTAAGGGTGCTGTGCAAAAGAGACTCGCTGCTTACCTCCTCCTGATGAGAAACCCTGAGGTTAGCGATCTTGAGCTTGTTAAGAAGATCTTGAAGCAAGAACAGAACATGCAAGTCAGATCCTTTGTTTCATCTCACATCTACAACATTGTTCAGTCCAAGGATCAGGAGATCCAAAAGTATGTATCTCATTGTACACGGTTTAAAAGATTCATCACTCTAATTAAAAACATGTTCTCTCAGTGTTTTCCATCATTTTAAGATTCTTTCCTTTATCTTCTCAGGTTGGCTGAGAAAATTATCAAAGTAATGCAGGGCAATGAGGTGATTCTTCCCTCAGGCTACACTAAACTTTCCCGTAATTACAAGGTGGAGGCTTACATGCCAAAACTTACAGGAATGGGCACCAACATGCAAGGAAACATCATTTTTGATCCCAGCAGTCAGCTGCCCAAAGAGGTTATGCTTGAGACAACTTTGAAAGTTTTTGGATACAGCTTTGACGTTTGGGAGGTGAGAGCCTTTTTCCTTACTGTTTTTCATGTCCAGATTTGTTGTAGAACTGTTCTTAGATAAAGCTCTTGTTCTTTGTCAGTTTGGTATGGAAGGCAAAGGATTCGATCCATCCATCGAGGCTATCTTTGGAAAGAATGGCTTTTTCCCTGATACCATCTCCAAAGCAATGTACTGGGTTGGGGACAAGATGCCAAACCAGCTGAATGAAGTTCTGCAGCAGTGGATGGAGCCCCTGAGAACAAATAAAACCAAGAGCCAGGTATAACTGTGATAGTTATGATTAGTTATGATTTGCTTTAAACACACCATTATTATGACAAAGTCTCCCATCTCTGTCCTTAACAGGTTTCTGAGGACATCTTAAAAGAAATTGTGCACAATTTTAACAAGCTTGTCAAGAACCTGAGAGATCAGGAATCCCCAGAAGCAATGGCCTATCTCAGGATCATGGGAACTGAGCTTGGGTATATAAAGGGCAATGGTGATCTGTCTGCTTTTGCCAACAGGATGGTCACATACTATAATAGCATCAAGCTCGCACCCTCCAAGGTTTGTACACATTTCCATACAAGCACACAAACACAGATTCACAGATTAGCTTCAACACATCTCTTTGTTATGATTTTCATATAAATGACAGTCTCTTACATGCAAGCAATGTTGGTTTTCATGCATTTACAAAAGTACAGTCTTGTTGAAGAAGCTCTTCCTGTTCTAATATCTGAACATAGATTATGATGGCGCTGATGTCTGGCAAACAAAACATATTTGCCCACTACATTTTCATGGACAACCAGTTCCACCTGCCCACTGCTTCTGGCCTCCCTCTCAGGTTCACACTGTCTGGAACTTTTACGCCTGGTCTTAAGGGAGGCTTGCATATGGAACAAAACATGGTACATAAATCAGGCAATTACAGCAATCAAAACAAACACTGAAAAATACCTAATAATTTATATCTTTTTCCAAGACAGTAATGTATTTGCAGCATCAACTACTCTTTGACATATTGTTGTAAGAGATGAAATCTGCAATTTCATTAAAAACATAAAAATAACATTCCTGTGTCAACATTACCTTAATAGCGGGAGCTGACCTTCTCACCCTCCATGGGGGTTGAGTTTGTGACTCGTATGGGTGTCTATGTACCCAAATTTGTTGCCTCTGCTGTGGAGATGCACACCGACTTCTACCACGAGAGCTCCCTCAATGCTAAAATCTCTATGGCTCATGGCCACATCAAGCTGACCATACCTGCACCTAAAGGTACCACTCAGCTTCTCAGAGCAAGGTTAGTTATTTGCTGTATACTCATAATGCATTTCATCATTATTAATAATGTCTTTGTGAATCATTTGGAGTCTTTATCAACTCTACTGATGGTGTATAAAATGTTCATTGTAGGTACAATGGCTAATTACCAGTGTCACTTTTTCATAAACAGTAACCGGCTGCTAGTGCTGAGCTCCCAGAAGAGCACTCTGCTGCCCGCCGTAGGAAATAAGACAGATGCAGTGAAGTGCAGCCCTCTTTTCACTGGTGTCAAATACTGCACAACTGTCCGCTACACCACTGCACATTCAAATGAAGCTGCTCCCTACTTCCCTCTGAATGGAGAGACTAAGTAAGGAATACACTATTCCTTATTATTATTATTATTATTATCCATAGGCATAGTTTTAGATGATGGTGGTGGCATGTCCTCTTCAGTGTTTTGAAGGGAATGAACTGTAATAATAATCATTTGCTCTCATACTTTGCTTTTTAACAGTCTGTTGTGATTGCTTGTTAAATTTGACCGAAACCATATATCCTTAAATCATATTGCTTTTACACAACACTGACATAAACAAAGAGAATCTTTCATTTAAAAAAAAATCATTCTTTTTTCTGTCATGTCTTTACGTCTCTGCACACCAAAGACGCAGGTGAAATGCAGTCTGTGTACAGTCAGCCTGTTACATGTTGTTTTACTGTAGCAGACTGACCCAGCTTTTCTTATAATCAAGAGTTGTGTGATGTTTAAAGTGAGGTAAGCTAAGAAGGCACTGTCTGCTTGTTATCTACCACAGGCTGTAGCTCTGCCCTGGACTAAAAAGACCAATGATGTAGCCTAGTTTGTTATCAATAGCTATCTAGTTGGTTTAGTACAGGCATGTCAAACTGGGCATGTCAAACTGCTGCGGGTATGAATTCAGTTCATGAAGGTCTTGTTGATTAGCTGATGAGCTGAATCAGGTGTGTCTAATTGGATGCTGAGGTCGCAGTGTTTTGGTCCACAAGGACTGGAGCTTAAAATACTGTACTTATGTCTGTGTGACACCTACAGATGTCTTACTATGGTTGCCTGTGTTGAGCTCTGTGTTTACCGGTTGGACATTAAAATGTCCAGTTGAGTCTCACTGAAGACCGTTGAGTCTCTCTGAAGACTGTTGAGTCTCTCTGAAGCCTCTTGCAGATTCACTCATCTGTTTTAGAGAGATCAGAGATCTTTGTGTGTAAATGGCAACAAAGAAATAAAGCTTTTTGAATCTCATCTTTACAGTGTGAGTGTAAGTTGATGTTTTAACATGCAGAAAATCTGCCAAGTCAGCATCTTAATAGACTTGAATATACAGGCAACTATGCACATTTTCAGAGTCTACAGTGAAATGCACTGTACAGAATATGCATACTATATTTTTCAGTTGTTCAGTTGTTAAATAAGGTTCTCATGTATACTTGCTTCTCTCTTTTATCCATGAACTTCCATAAGGGGAAAAAGCTTGTTGGTTAGAAGTTTATTATTTTAATAAATACAATGAAACATGCGTATTTATGACCGTTTAATGGCACATTCCTAATGTAGCATATCTTTAACGCTAATAATAATAATAGTTATTAAACATTTATGATATGATGGGTCAGGTGGTATGAGAATTCACCCCCCTCCAAAGTTTAAATAAAACCCACATCACTGTTTTAATCCATCAGTCTATGATATCTGTTTTTTTAATTTTGCAATGTGTGATGTTCCCTCAGGTTCGCAGTCGACATCCGTCCCACCGATGAAGTTACTGAGTATACGGCTACTTTCAGCTATGAGCTCTTAAATGAGGGAAAAGATGGCCGCCAGAAGTCTGATTCTCTCAAAATGATCCTGAAAAGTGACGGTAAATACACTTCAAAATACATTTCACTCATTTGAAGCCATCATGTACATAGACTATTAAATGAGATTATTTTGGAGTTTGAGGTACTACTTTCCTAAAAATAATGTTTTTTTGATAGTGTCCAGTTTATATTCATTGTTTTCCTCTGTCTATTTAGGTCCTAACCCTGTTGAGGCCACAGCTACTATTAAATACAACAGGAATAAAAATGTCCTCACCACAAGCGTCGACATCCCTAATTACGATGTAGAGGCTGGGATAAGAGTTGGAATCACCGATAGCAGTGCTAAAGGAAAGAAACTCACAATTGACATCTCCAACAAGAACATTCCTCAGGTGTCTCTGGTAGGACGTGCTAGGTAAGCAAGGCTGTGGTGATTTATTTTTATTTTTAAATTATGCCTGAATATTTATTACCCTCTAAAATTACTGAGACAGAGAAGACAAAAGTTCTAGTTTTGCTTGAGCAGAGAAAAATGAAAAATAAATAAAAACAGACCCATACTTACCTGGCAGGGTTGATACCATGATCGTGAAGGTGGTTCACCCAGGGCGAGAAATGCAGAAGAACAGTTAAACTGAACTTGATGATTAAAAAACATGCAAAGCTGTAAAGAAATCTGTTCAAACAAATATAATAAACTGAAAACATCAGCAAAGTAGGAGCGATCTGCCTTGAACAAATGTCTTCAGTACCTGAATTACACAGTACTCTTTATTCAGAAGTGATCATGCCTATTTATCCACAGTCAGAATGTAGAAGTGTCAAAAATAATGAGCATTCAGAACACACTGCAGCTTTGTTTTTCAAAGCTGAAAAAGCCTTTGTTGTGTTATCACACAGTTGCTAACCCCTTTATGTTTCACCTTAAAAACTGATATGTCAGACTGAAAAGTACTGAAATGCATTTTATGTGAAGATTTGAAATTTATAAGCATTTAAATATATAATCAAACTGTGTTGGGCTCAGTTATTAGCCCACTAAGCTAGAGCTAGCATAATCAACTCTACTTTGCTTTCCATAGCACTGTTTTAATTTCCAGTAGTTCTTCAGCTCATGGTTTAACATTTAATGGGCGAAGATTTGAAGATTTCACAAGTTTATTTTCTGATTATTAATGTTACAACAGGAGCTTATTTGCTCTGTCTCGTCTGTGCAACCTGTTGAATCATACAGCGTCCAAACTGTTCAAGCACAGCGTCCCTGGTGGTGAAGGGAAGGTAGTGGTTTGGGAATGAGAGGCAAGGGGCGTTTATAAGTTGCATTTTCATGCATATTCATATTTAACGTATTGTCCTGGAACACAGTAGAAGACACTGCAGACGTAGGCCTCGTGTTTTTTCCATTGGAAAGTGCATTTTTTCGTTAGATTCAGTAAATATTTGAATGTCAGATTTAATTTTGAAATCCTTACTGCACCATCACTCCAGAGAAGACAACTCCACTGCTTCACAGCTGGGGAGCTTTATATCCTAGCTAACTCTGGGCTTTGAGAATAGTGACCTTAGACTCATTTGTGACTCCAAAGAATCCTATTCTACTGACAGTGCTTTTCTATGGAGATTAAACAAGCTGACTGTGCACAATTGACTGCGTAGATGAATAACTGGTGCACCTTAAAGTAGCTAAATTCACTGATTAGAAATGGTGTCTGGATACTTTAGACACATAATGTAGTTTGGTAGATCATCTCAAATGAAGACTGTAAGACACATACCTAGAAGTATCCAGAGGGTAATGATCCATGTTTTTTTGGGGTTTTTTTTGGGGGGGGTGGGTGTTGCCTTTATTCAACAACAGCAAACATAAGAAATGGCAGTAGAACTGTTTTATATAAAGCACAAACTGAATAAAGCAGAGAAAGGTCCCCCAAATATCGGTATAATGTTGGTGGTGATCCAGTTGCTTAATGTCAGGGTTTTTTTCCCTGACATCATCCCTCCTCCACCAAACTACAGCTGGCACAGTGCAGTCAGGCAGGTAACGTTCTCCTGGCATTCACCAAACCCAGACTCGTCCATCAGACTGACAGATAGAGAAGTGTGATTGGTCACTCCACAGAATATGTTTCCACTGCTCCAGAGTCCAGAGGCGGCGCTTTACCCCACTCCATCTGACGCTTGCCGTTGTGCTTGGTGAGGTAAGGCTTGTGTGCAGCTGCTCAGCCATGGAAACCCTGCCTTGAAGCTCCTGGTGCAGTTTCTGTGCTGATGTTGATGCCAGAGGAGGTTTGAACTGAACGTTTATTGATCAGCAGAGTGTTGGTCTCTTTTATGCTCTACGCTCCTCAGAACTCGGAGACCTGCTCTGTAACTTTATATGGTCTCACACTTCGTGGCTGAGTTGCTGTGGTTCCTAAACGCTTCCACTTTTCAATTATACACTCACAGCTGATCGTGGAAAATCTAGGCGCGAAGACATTTCGCAAACTGACTTGTCACTCTAGTTCAGTGACTCTTTAGACCCATTCTTTCACTAATGTGTGTAAAGGCAGGCTGCACGGCTAGCTGCTTGATTTTATACACCTGTGGCAATGAGACTGAATGAAACACTTGAATTCAGTGGTTAAGAGGTGTGTCCCAATACTTTTGTCTATATAGTGGAAGTGTATATAACCCTGAAATCAATATTTAATCCTATTTAACTCTGTTTTCCTAATGTTATGTTTACATGAGATTTCAAAGATGAGATGAGAAATTGGCAGATTCATATTAGTCTACCAAGCCAACTAGAGCAGAATCCTCTGAAAAAAATGGCAGAAAGCCTGACGTGCAGTGATGCCAGTTGTATACATGAAAAAGAAACAGGACAACACTGTACACTCATTTTGAATGCTTTAAAACTGTGATCTACACAAAATATAATTCAAGACCCAGGCAGCTGTGGTGCGAAGAGCTGAGCTAAGAGATGTGATTTTACAGACAAATGGGTACCATTGTATTCATTTGACTGGTGCCCAAGCTCTTCTCCCTTTGTTCTTCAGTTGTTTGAGGTTTTTTGTTTTCAGTAATCCACTAAGTCTTTATTAAGTCTATTTATTAAAATAAATAAATAAAAATAAATCATCCTGGCTTTATGTCATGGACCGCACTTTCGTGACTAACTACAGTAGAGTCATATGCTTGTTTGTTGTAATCATGTAATCAGATTATAAATTTGTCTGGTGTTTTTAGCAGAAAGCCTTTTTTTAAATAAATCTTGTTTATTCAGGGTGAATAAAAAAACATCTGACTTGAACCTGAGAGCAAGTAATAATTACTAATAATTGAACTATATTCAGCTGTTCATTATATTCATATATCAGCCTTAACTTGACAGTTTATTCTGTAATGACTTTTGCTACACTTTCAAAATGAACTGGACCATGACGTTTTAGAAGTAGTAACTGTAGAAAGGATTAATTTATATAATTATCAATTCAGATATCATAGAGAGATGATAAATGCAGCCACAATTCCACATAATTCCATAAAAGCTTGTGCCAACCAAAATAAAAAAAAAAAGCTTTCTCTCAATACTTCTGTGGGGCACAATATCTTTTCCAAAAATACACTGCATTTGTTGATGTAAGCAATTTAATTTGTGTATGTGGCACCTTAAATAGACATTTATGTTTACAACAGGCTTGAGGAAATGAAGAACGGCCTACTGCAGGCCCAGGTGATTGTTCCTTCACTGAAGACTGAGGCAGCTCTCACTGCCACCATGAGGCGCGCTGAGGATCTCACCTTGGAGCTCAAGAGTAACATCACAGTCCTAGAAACCAGCTCTATCCAGAACATAATCTTCAAATATGGTATTTGAACTATTATCAGTTGAGATCTACCATCCTGTTGTAGTGGAACCAATTATTAATTCTGTCTAAAATGCGGTTTGCAGCTGATGATGAGATGGAGGTCCAGCTGAAGTCTGACATGGACTCAAAAATCCAGAACCTCATGCCGAACACACAGCATCTCCAGAGCACACTGCAGTGGCATTTTCAGGAAATTATGCATCAGAGAATTGCCCAGACTGATATGAATCTACATCACATTTACTCAAAAGCTATTGAGGTAAAATTACTAAAAAGGCATATCTGCTTTGTGCTTTATTGTATTTATTGTATTGTATTTTTACAGTGTCAGTCCAACTTACTGAATTGTTCCAAATCAGTCCAAACTGCTGCATTTTCAACAGTGCTTCTGAGTTTTGTTTTGTGTGACTAAACGCCATCACAGGCTAGTCGGATTTGGATGGACAAGATGTCTGCTGATGTTCCCTTCATTCAGACAGTAAAGAACAACATGCCAGAGCTGGTTATGCCTGCTCTGCCTGAAAAACTGTACCTGAACGCGTAAGATTTTTTTTCTTTCGTACTAATTATTGTTATTACATTATTTATTTATAATTAATATTAAATTCTGTTCTTTTTTTCTTGTTCAGCGTTTTTGTTTCTATACTTTTCTAATGTTCTCTTTTTCCTGATTTTATTTGTTCATTTGTTGTGAAGCATGTTAGGATATATGCTAATGTGTGAAAGGTGCTATATACAGTTTATTTGTAAAGTTGTGTATCAGCACCATTTCTGTACACTCAAACAAATGAAAACATCCAAACATCCAACAGCCATAACGTTTGTCCTGTTTGTTCATTTTAGCTGCGTTTGTTTTATTCTTAGAGAGAGCACACTCAAATACCAGTTCAACAAGGACCATATCACTACCACGATTTCCTTGCCTCTGAGTGGAACGACATCTGAAGACCTGAGAATCCCTCATGCAATGGCCACCCCAGGCCTGTCCATGCCACAGATTGGTCTGACAGTACCCTCCAAACAGTTCAGGCTGCCTAGGTTCTCCATTCCTTCCAGTTATGACTTTACATTGCCACTTCTTGGAATGGCACATGTGTCTGCCAAGATCAGTACCAACTTCTACAACTTTGAGGCCATGATCTCTGGTGGTAACAACACTGCTGAGGGACCAAGTTACATTGCCAACTACAAGTTCATTGCTAACAGTCCCATGGAAATATTGTCCTATCGAGTTGAAGGTAAGGGAAACATGAATGTAGCACTAGTGCTCGTTTGAGAGCACAGTATTCTAGCAGAATAGTACTAAGAATTGTACTTCTTATGTATTAAGAAATCTTATACATTCATGCTTTTTCATCACATGCAGGAACTGCCCATATCGCTGACGTCCCTGAGGATGCCTTAAAGATCACTATTAATTCTTCCTTAAGCCACAAGCTCATTGATGCACATTTTAGCTTGATAGACTCAGTCACTGTTATGAGAGATGCAGTAAAGGGTATTGGCAATTACAAAATGCAAGTCTTCAGCCCTCTTGGTATGGACTTGTCGATGGTGTATACTTCACAGATTACTCTATCTTCTGACATCACTGGAGAAGGCAATGTGGAAGGATATCTGACAGTAGGCCCAGTGTCTGCTAGCACCAGCCTCACACAGTCCTTTGTCCTGCAGCCCAGCATCAGAGTAGCAAGGGCAGAGTCTTTATTTAGAGTAGGTTCGTCTATTGTTCAAATCCGCAATAAGATAAAGGCTGCAGTTACCAATGAAGAGCTGTCATTTGAATCCAACACCAACATCAACAATGATCCACTCAAGCATACAACAAAGTTTAACATTGATTTCAAGAAGGCCCATTTTACCTTCAAGTCAGATTCTGTAACCAAAGCAGACAAACGCATGGTTCGCAACCAAGTAGACTTTTCTGCCACCATGGAGGAAGCAAGCATCAGGATCGAATCGCAGGTTGATCACAGTACAAATCATGCCTATTCTCTGATTGCTGGAACACTGAACACCAGGCAACTGGAACTCAATGCAGATGTTACCATCAACTTTAATACCATGCATGGCTCCCACAAAGGCACTCTGTCCCTTACCAAGGATGGTCTCACCACAAGCTGTACCACAATTGCACAAGTCAGCCCAGTTACTCTTGAGAATGTTTTTCATGGTGACATTGGTACATCTGGTGCATCACTGTCTCTAACCACACAGGCCACAATGCAGGAACACAATGCTGAGCTCAAGGTTGAAGGCAGATTGACAGGCTATGAGCTATACCTGAACAGCATGTACATAGGTGATGTCTTCAATTCCAGTGTAAAGAATACAGTAACTTTCATGTTGACCGACGAAGACCTGAACTTCTCTAATAATTTGATTGCATCTCTTCAGGACATCAAGTTAGAAAATGCCCACTCTCTGACTCTTTCTGCCAGCGCTCTGGCTATTCACTCTGAAGCTGATAACTTCTTGAATAATAACAATTTCTACAAACACAAGATTGCAGTTGATGTTTCCAGCTTTACTGCATCTATGCAAGTTAACAGTGACTTGAAAATTCTTGGAGCGAACCTTATCAATGATGCACAGGTCAAGGCAGAGCCTCACAAAATCGATTTAACTGGAACTCTGAAGGGAGCCTTTGCTGAAGAGGAACTGAGACACATTTATGAGATCAGCTATGCTGACCTAGCAGTCACAACAAAATGCAGCACCACCGGAAAACTTCTGGGCACTCATATGTCTCAAACCTTTGAGGCTGAGATTGTAGGATTGTCCTTGAAGCTTAACAATGAATTTGATTTAAAATCCCCTTCACTCTATCCTGTAAGCAACATCTTGGCTGTGGCTGAGCCTTTCCTTTTCTCTGACGGGGATCTGGATCTGTACAGAAAGCACAGTGGACAGATGAAAGGAAAGCTTCTTGTGAGTGTACAGCCTCTGTCTTTCTCTCTTGAGCATGAATGTAAGGCCTCAACCTTTCACCAACTTGGCAATGGCAACTCTATTGAAAACAACTTCCAGAATGAGATTACTGGGGCTGTGGCTCTTGAGAGACAAAGTTTTAATGTCAAGATGCGATCCAAGCTCGATGAACATGCCTTTGACCAAGTCCTGGAATTCTACAACACACCTGAGAATCTTGGGTTTGAATTAAGAGGCACAGTGCTCACTAACCTTTTGAATAAAGTTAATAAAGACCCAGAAGAATTTTCCATTTCTGGGGCTTTACAATATGAGAAGAACAGTGAGAGCCATTTCATTTCATTGCCCTTCACTGAGAACTTGCCTAAACTCAGAGAGCAAATCAAAACTTCATTGTATTCTCTGAAGGACCAGTGCATCAAACTGCTTCAGGACAGTGATGGTAAATATAACATTGGAGCTAATATTAGATCTGGAGCAAGTGAGCTTAAACAGATATTTGAAAGCTTTGATGTAAATGTGTTTTTTGAGGATGTAGAGAATTCCATACATTCCATTGAAGTGGAAAAGTATGTAAAAAAGCTCTCTACTGTCATCTACTCTCAAGAAATCACAAAACGTTTTATATTCATTAGAGAAATGATTGTAACCATGGCCAAGAAGAATTACATCAGCAGTAGGATTAACGAAATCTACGCTAAAGTTGAAGAAATTGTGGCAGAGTATGAAATCGAACCCTTGGTGGAGACAAGTGTGGATAATGCTGTGGAGCTTATGAAAAAATATAACTTAAAAGAAACAATGCAGCTGCCTATTAGCCATCTGAAATCAGTTAACATCAAACCTCTGTTTGACCAGTGTTTCAGGCATGTGAACGAAGTCACCCAACAACTTGACTCACTGGACTTCAGACATATGACTGATAAACTGAGTGACTATGTAGACAGAGTCCTTCAGAAAGTTAAATCTTTTGACACCTTTGCTGATGAAGCAAGAGAGAAAGTCCTTGAAATGACCAGGGTTCCCTGCTTTGGAAAGCTCTATAGTGAATTTGAGATCAACTCACCAAACCACAAAATGAAGACCACTGCTCGTCTGGAGAACTCTACGAACTCTGAGACATCACAGTTCATAGCCATTCTGAACTCTCAGTTTCACACTCCCATCGGCCCTTTGGCTTACTCTTTTAATTCAGCTGCTCAGTTAGTTGTGCCTAAAATTAGACATATTTCTCTCCTTGCAACAGTGAGTGTCCATCACATGGCTTTCTCCCTTGACCATCAGGGATCACTGGCCATCCATGACACATCATCTCAGGCTTCCTCTAAGACCACAGTCAAGGCAACCACTGAGCTGTATACTGCTGAGCTTGTGAACAGTGTATCGTTTGCTCTAAAGAGTGGATTTTCTGGAACTATGGACACGTCCTACGAGCATAACCTAACTATGCCACTGGCTAACATCTTCAGTGAGGCTGCTGTGACTCAGAAATCTACTGTCCAGATGACAGCTGACATTATCACTCTGGCCCTTGCAAATGAAGGAAGAGGAAAATGCTCTCTCTTTGACTATTTACATGAAGGAACTCACAAGAGTGACATGGAGTTTGTGATGGACATACAGTCAACCAAACTCATGTTCAGTGGTGATACTGATAGCAATCTTTTAAAGATGAAGCAGAATGTAAATATTGAGTCTGGTTATTATAGATACTTAACCATTACTGCCCATATTCAGACAGACACTCCCTTCCTAAAGAGAAGTGTGGCTGTTATGAAAGGGCAGATTCAAATACAGGATCCTAAAATTGAACTGATTGTCTCACACAATGCTGAATTGTTTGGTAAACTCGATGGTATTATGTCCAACTCACTTAGCTTCAAGGCTATGCCTTTTGAGATTGCTTTTGACACCAAGAACAAGAACAACATAAAGCTGGTTCTTCCTTTGAAGTTGTATGGAATAGCTGATCTTCAGAATGACTTGACATTTACCCTAAACCCTACAGTTCAGCAGGCTAGCTGGACAGGTCTTGCAAGGTTCAATCAATACAAGTACTCCCATTACATCAACATGGCTAATGTTGAGAAAGAAATTCAAGTCACTGCCTCAGTAAATGGTGAGGCCAATCTTGACATGTTAACAATGCCCATTGAAATCCCTGAATTGACTGTGCCCTTCATCAGTTTAAAGACACCACCCATACATGGCATTTCACTGTGGGAAGACACAGGTCTGAGGAAAATATTGATCTCACCTCATCAGCTCTTTGATATGGATATAAAATGGAAGTATGTAAAGAGCCCTAAAGTGGTTGCTCTTGATATAAACATGGAGCAGTTGTTTAATGCTGTCAATAGGAACGCCAGAGTGCTTCGCAAAAATCTGCTGATAGCAGCTGAAACCCTTTCCACCACCTTTAATCATTCCAGGGCTTTGAGTCAGTTGACCCTGCCAAAGATCACTCTTCCTAAGATACCGAAGACCATCAGGATTCCTGCCATGGGTGACCTGATCTATGAGTTTTCTGTAAAAACCACTATAATAACCCTGAATACCAAAGTTTCCATCTTGAATCAAGATGATATTGTGACACAGTTTGAAGCTCAATCTACCTCAGAGTTTGATGTTTTCAGTGCCAAACTCACTGGCGCCTCCATGTTCAACAGGGATCGAATGAAACTGACCACAACGATGTCTCTGGTACATATGCATGTTGAGTGCATTCACAATGGTCTTCTTGTCCTGAGCACAGATGCCTTTGAAGCATCTATTGGAAATGTTGCTAAAGTTAAATTGCCAAATGTGAATGTAGACCTTTACCAGGAAATAACTGGAACCGTTGAGGAGGGCATTTCCATTTCTGCTTCCACGTCATCAGCTGGACTAATTGGTCTACAGCTGAAAAGTAAAAGCCCCTCATATATTGTTGGAAGAGTCTACAGTAGATATCCGGTAAGACACTAGCAGTTTGTATTTTTGCATCATTGGATATCTTTGTCACTTTCTACCCTGTTACTTTGACTCACAGCTTTGACTCATGTTCTGTTCTGTGTTACAGTCTGATTTCCAGAATGATGTGGACGTCCTGAAAGTTACAATAACGCTTGTGGATACAGAGAAACTGAACTTTCAGACTCAGTGGAATATGGAGGTTCCCAGCGAGATGCTTCATGAGCTTAAGGAGCGAATGCCTGCTGTTATATATTCACTTGATCCAACAAACCACATCGATGCGATTTCCACTGAACTTGATAAAGTGTACAGCAGAGTTGAGAGTACGATTGCCCACATTAAGGATGAAGGCAAGATTATGTACAGGAGAGCAGCTGAAAACATTGTCTCCTCTGACCTGATTCACAGCAGCAACAAATTATCTGACAAAATCTTAAGTATCCTCAGAGCACATCAAAGAAACATTCAGGTATGGTTGGATGCAGCCATCTCTTTTTTGAGAGATACACAATTCCAGCTCCCTGGTTACTCAGAAAAGCTTTCTGGACTCGAGTTATGCAATAAAATAACTGTTTTCATTGCTAATGTAATTGAGGTTGCTATAACAAGGGTTCCAGAGGCCCTGGCCACCTATACAGAGTCTGTCACAGACAATTTCAGAACTATGGAGTTCACAGTTCCAGGAACAAACCATTTGATCAGTGGCAGAAATATCTTAGATGACTTACATTCTGCCCTCCAGAAGGCTCAGTACCAATTGATCAGCACTGTGAAGAGTTTGGGAAATATCCATCCGGACATATATGTTCAGAAGCTGTCTGGCATTTTGAACTTAAGTGTTGATAAGGTAGAAGAGCTGTTTACTATTCTGAAATCTCAAGAAAAGATGGACAAGCTATCCACATGGGTCAGTGATGTCTACACTGACGCCTTCAACATTTTGTATCAGATCCTCATGCAAATTAAGGATTTTAAGATTATTATTGAGGAATATTACATCTTTGTCAAAGCTAAAGTCCAGGAAATCCTTACTGATATGTTAAAAAAACTGAATGCTGACACAAAGCACTGGACTGACACTATTGTGAGGTGCTTTGATGACCTCCAGAACCAAGTCAGTGAAGCCTTTGAAATTGTTACTAAGAATGTTAAGTCTTATGTGAAAGTAAATGACAAGGAAATAGACATTTCCATTCCTCTTCCATTCACATGGGAAGCCTTCAGTGGAGCCTTTGTCAACTAACTCCTATCATTTATGTAACAGTCAATCATTTATGTATCAGTAAAAGATGTTTCTTTTCAGTCTGAGAACAGAGATCAAAAACACATCAGTACTTGTACAGTTTCTTCCAGAACTGCTTTTGATTTCTTTTTATGAAAGACTGATTTGGAACTTGACTATGGGGTCAAGTATTAATAATGAGCTTGCCCCTCAACCCCCCACCCCCACCCCTAGCTGCAGTAACAGTCTCTACTCATCTGGGAAGGCTTTACACTAGAATTTTCATAATGAGGATTTGATTGTATTCTCCCACAGGAGCATTAGTAAGGTCAAGTACCTGAATTCACCAATTAAAAGGGGTGTCTGGATACTTTTGGATGTACCGTGTATTTCCCCTTGATAGACAAATATATTGTATCTTATTTAAAAACAATGAAAAATTATAAATAAACACCATTTGGGCTGCAGAAAGTGTTGTGCTTTTTATTCTTAACAAGTTTAATAATAATAAAAAAAACTTGCAGTACAATTTTAGCTTTATCAACAGAAAATACATCCAGTTTCAGTTCTGTGAAGCACATTCATTTAGATTACAGTTCAGCAGTTTAGAGTCTGTGGATTACAAAGCTGAACTCAAAGTGGTAAAGTATCAGTGCTGGTCTTTATAAAAGACCACCAATATCCTTGTTCTTGTCACCAGGAGGACATTTCTGACAAATGAAGATATATTTTAATGTGCCATAGGGTTCAGAAAAAGCCTTTTCTATCATCAGATTTTGACTCTTGGTGAGGTAATCAGGGTTCAGAATATATCGTCAATATATCGTCAATAAATTTCCTTTGTTCTACTTATTTGTAGACACAAGCGAGAAAATCTGCTTCAGGTACATTTATTGACATCAACAATAATTCAAGCAGTGATAAAGTTTCACATCTATTTTACCCACTCAGGAAAAGTTGTGCCCGCACCAAATAAAGCACTTTAGAAGTAGATCAGACACACTGGACCAGAAGTCACAACTTGAACAACCTGTCAATTATTCAAATTAAGCAGACAAAATATTAAATTATGTCATTCTAACGTAAGACAAGGAATGCAAATTTTACCAAATATCGACTGATTCAACAGATTCAGTTCATATAAAAAATAGCATCAAGAAAAGTTTGGGCTTTACTGAAAAACACAACTGTAGCTTAGTTATTTACCATCATTAGCTCAAATCCAAAACAAAGTGCTCTCAGCCCTGCATGACACAGGAAAATTAGGCAGTATAAACATGGTGGTGCTTTCCTACCTCAGTCATGTTGAGGGGTTTAATATCTTAACACTAACATCCACCCTAAGTGCAGTAAAGAATTTACAGTGCAAAACCAACTCCTTTAAAATGCCATTTCAAATATCAGCATGAGGACAACCACAGTTACAAAAACCAACATGAGCATAAAGACTCAATGCAGTTTATCTGGTAAACATTTAACCTGAGCTGTAATGCCAGACCATCCAAACAAACTTACTTTTCACCACTTATGAACATTTTTCTGTTTAGCTTGTGTCCATCCAAATTCATCAAGATCTTCTGGACAAACTCAAGTTGTCAGAAAGCTGAAAACAAGGACATAAGGAACCCAAATACCATGATGAATGCACTTCCAAGATTGTTGACCTCTATTACAATGGCAATGTCCCATAGCTCAGCATCATCCTCATTGCTGTCTCCTCAAATTGTGTAAATCCCCATTGTGCACTCACATATCCTTCTCTGCATCACCAATGACAGACCTGAACATAAATACGAACACAATCACTGACCGGTTAGAGAAGTGCACGAGCAGAAATCTGCAGGCTTGTGAAAAACATAACTGCAGCTCAGCTATTCACCATCATCAGCTCAAATTTAACCACAATTAAATGTTAGCTGCTGTTCATGTTGTTAGGAAATAATATTAGGAATATTAAAGGGCTAATTTACTGATGTAATTGCCAAATCTTTAGATAGATTTAGACTCTGAATCAACTACAGGTTCAGAATACATACTGCTGATGTTGAAGTTTCATCTCAAATTCCAAGATTCCTAGATAAGGTGAACATGCAGCCCCTCCATCAAACACTCATTTATAAAGCATTCATTAAGCTACACATTTATGGCTCTAGACATCAGTTGTCTTCCAAGGATGAACTTTGAGATGCTATTTCAGCATCAGCAGTATGTATTCTACCTGCAGTGATCAGAGTCTAATCAAATCAATAAATCAAACACTGGTTAGTTCTAAAGTTTGTATAGCACCACCTTCATGAGACTATTGCTTTCACTGTTATTGCACAGATTTAGTAAAAGTGCATATTTTGGTAAATGACTATTCTCTCCAATTACATGACATGCAGCAATTTTACCATTCATTTGTAAAAAAAAAACACATATAGTTGTATTATAATAAACATACCAAATATTGCTTTAAATGTTCAAATACATGACCAGGCTTTTTAGGATGCAGTCCCTCCTGATGTCAATCTTTTTACAGACTAAATATCTACATTTATTGAAATTAAACGGATGTAAACCAATCTCAGTGCTGTGGCCTAGACTGACATGTGTTTTAGTCAATTCTACTTTTCATTGGTTTCATAAAAGCTTTATTTTCACACTCATTCCTGATTCAGTTCCACTTTATCTGCACAAGTTACTTCACTGTCCATCTGCGTTTTGGGGGTTTATTCACCGTAAATTACATTAAGGACAGCAGTAAAACCGCTGTGGTTCAAACTAGCAGCGTTAGTGTGTTTCAGACCGCTGTGCTCCGACCGAGCTGCGGTGGTTTTGGGATGGATGTTCGTTAGTTTACCGATCCGCTGAGCTGAGCTGGTTCGGCGGGTTGAGAATCTGCTTCTGAGGAATCCAGCACTGGACTGGACACCTAACTAGCCACTTCAGTTAGCCCGAGCTAAGTGACCCGGCGCTTTCGGTTCAGGACTCATATTAACATACGGCTTTACACTGCGCTCAACAACAGACTGAACAGACGAGAACTAAACAGAAAACATGGAGACACGGTTTATACCAGAAACGCGAACAGCCCGCAAACTGAGCTCACTGAGGTCGATGAACGTCACTCGCTCGTGATTCTCGGAGCGGTCAGCTTCACTTTCAGGCTGGGCTGTGGACTGACTGAGTGGCAGAAGGAGATTGTCCTCGCTGCGGAACCAAAAGTCCAGGGGGTTCGGCTGGATCTGATCCAACTCCTCCCACGTCGTGTTTTAACTGGTCTGAACTCGAGTGGAGCTGATCAAATGGACAATGAGGGTAGAGCGAGCTAATAAAATGGCTCATCAGGGTTTATAACATTTAATAGGATTTTTTAGGCATATTGAGTCATTTTTATTAGACTTATGGAAATGTGTGGCAGTTATACCAAATCCTTTTAAATGTAAATGTAAGTCTTTTTTTATTATGAAATTCCCAGACTTAGTTGATAAACACAGTTATGTGGGTTATTTTGACCGGTCATATGTCCATTCTAGTGTTTAAAAACCTTCATCGTTTTAAACTAGAACCCGTTTATCATAAGTACGCTTGATTTGTAGGCCTACAGAACGGACTTTGTACCGGAATGTAAAAAAAAGCTTTTCGAGTTGTGACAAATGAGCGTGAACGTCGCGAATCGTGAGCGGTTATAAAGGCCGTGTTGTGGCGTTCAGGACGGAGCGACATCGAGAAAAACACAAAGACACCAGCATCACCTTTTGGGTTCCCACAGAGAAACACGCGGCAGGGCAGACCAATGAAATAAGTCGTAGGAGGACAAAGTAAGGACACATACTCGTTTAAAGACCAGTAGAAATGTGGGCGGAAGCGGTAGCAACTCACCCACTCTAACGGATTTTCAGATTTGACCGGGTGAAGGGCGCGCTCAGCTATGATTGGCCAGTTTCCTGGATGACAGTCAGATTAGCCAATCATGCTCAAAGAAACACGGTGAGACAGCCAATAGCAATTGTTACAGCGTGGTAGCATAGCAACTGTGGGAAAATATGCGTCGGAAAAGAAAGAAAAATAAAGAAATTAAATATGTGTATTAGTTTATATTTAACTAATCGGTAAAGTAAGGTTTTCACTTCAGTGTATGAATAAAAAAGTAGTAATGTGTGGTAAAGTTTCATTAATACCTACGCACACACACACACGCACACACACACACACACACACTCACACACACACACGCACACACACACACACACACACTCACACACTCACACACTCACACTCACACACACACACACACACACACACACACTCACACACACTCACACACACAAACACACATAAATATATATATATATTCACAATTTCTGGAATGTGGAAATCATAGCATTGTCATTTTCAATTTTTTGAACAGCAGAAAAAGGCCTATTCCAGTTTAATGTAAGAATGAATAGAAATTATTTTTAAGACATATTAGATTGTATAAATATTAACGCACTCAGCCTTTTGTTGTGCAGTGATCATTGTTTTTTCAGCAGTGTGCTCACTGGTAATTAAGTTTTACCATAACCAAGCAAGAACTGATAATAAGTTCACACTAAATCACATATGGCAAAAACTTGTGCTGTCTTGTGGTTGAAACTTTCTAGCATGTAGCTGCTCTAAAGCACTTATGGCTTATCATTTCTGCTTCTACTACTTCCTGCCTGGACTATTGCAATGCCTTGTTTTTCTGACTTTGGCTTTACTCATTTTACTTTTGTCAGATGAATTGGGAAAAAAATGTACTATTATACAAAAATGTAAAAGTAATAAGATATACCTTAAAAGTACTAAGAAAAACTTAAAATTGTTAGTATGGACCTAAACCTTTATAAAATGTGTTACTTATTTAATTACAGATAATTATTGTCTTTTTCCAGAAATTTGCACGTAATTTTAAAAACGGTCAAAATGATTTGATCATTTTTTAATCAGTAGGTATACATTCTAAAAGTATTCTCCTAAAATGTGAAATGTAACTGTGTTCTGAAAACTGGCTT